CCTTACTGTTTCGATTGAACCAAATAAAATGTCTCTTATAACTCCAAAAATTTCATAATCATTCAATGATCGGTTTAATGACTTATGTGAATGAAGTTCTATACCATGCGATGTGTTAACAGTAAGAAGCAATGTTAAAAAATCAGATGATTGTAAAGCATTTTCGGATAATAAATCAATTTCTGTGCGCCTTTTTTGAATTATTTCAATTAAAAAAAACTTCTAAATTTTTTATAACTTTTGAAAGTTTGTTGTTAAAAAAGCTTATTCCAGGAGCATGTCTTATAAAGGGTGGAACTAAACTGAACCCTTGAGTTAATAAAAAAAAATTTTTATAATTAGATATTTTTAAATTAATAATAGCTTATTACAATCTATATTTAAAAGATTATTACATTGCGCTGTTTTAAAAGAAGAATTAACTAGAGAAATCATTTTTGAAGATAGTTCCCGTTCTGAATTTGAAAGATTATCACAATTAACATCATAACCCAGTGAATTAAAAAAAGTGTGCACTGAGTAACCAGGTAATCCAGTTGTTGTTTTGACTGCTATATCCCCAGAAAGTTTTTCTAGCCATTTAGATAGATCAATTTCCCTCTGGTCATTTATCAAAATATCCCATAACCTAAACAAATCAGTGGCCATTTCATATGTTTTCCCTGTAATCATTCTTAAAAAATTTCTTGACCTTACTATTCTTTCAACGAATTCACGATTGATTTTCCATTCATCTAAATTTCTATTAAAAACTATTCCACTATTTTCTATACCCATTTCTTCCAGTCCAGGATTTTTTAAATCACGATATAAGAATTTACGACTAAGAGTTACTGAAGAAGTATGAATTGGATGTGCCACATCACCATTAGAAATTATGAGAAGTCGTTTAAAACCAATGTGAATTTCACAGAAATCTCCGTATTTCGATTGAACTTCTTTTAAATATTCTGCGATGTTTTTATATTTTAATAACTCTAGCGTATTTCCTAACAGGGGCATCCAAGGAAATGGACCAGGTAACGGATTTACTCTAGTAGAATATTTGTAATAATATCTGATTATATACAAAAGCAGCAGCACGGTAACTAAAGCTGGAAGATCGGTAATCAAATTCTTTATAAAATGCATTTTTGTTATTGCAAAACTTATTAAAAGGCAAAAATATTAGAGAAAACAGATTCTAACGCTAGACAATTCTAACATTATATATCTTATTTTATGTTACACTAGCCAGCTAATTTGATAAAAAAAATTTGGAATTTTCTATTGATAAGTATCACATTACACAACTTGTGTTATTTTAGGCGAGAAGTGATTTTTTATCATTGGTAAAACGATCATTATTTTTAAAAATGTAGATAATGTAGCAATTTTTAGATTAAGTTAATCGATTTGATAATGGGCGTTCTCGAGCACCTATCTCAATGAATTCCATAAAGAATCTGATTGGCCAGTTTGACCAAACAGACAAATCAAATCCTTTGTTTAGTTATTAAAATAGGTGCTTGAGAAGGCCAAATATAAAATTTTTTTAATTATCATGAGTCAATCAACTTTTCTCATCTTTTTATCAAATAAAAAAAAGCATATTTATGCAAAAAAAATTGTCAATTGTCAATTTATCGAATAATACTAAAAAATCAAAAATAAATTCAGAACTAGCGATTCACATTCTCTTAGTGAAATTGTAAAAGAATCATGTAAACTGTATGATGATGATCAAAATACAAAGTTATAAAAATCTATTCTTAAAA